TTAGTAAAACGTGCATTAAAAGGTTACAAACAGTACAAAATATAGCCCTCAGATTTATATAACATAAAATATACAGACCACATCAATAATGAACAGCTACACAAGAGACAAACCTCTTAGCAATCAATGTAGATATACACAACAAAGCTGTAAATATTTGGAAAAAGTGACTGAACTTAACACAGAAACATATCAAAACTGGATAAATAATATAGACAACGAAAATTTCCAAGAACACAGTTGGTTTAAATCAGCCAGGAAGAAAGTAATTGAACCATCTCCTGCCCCAATATACATATAAAACATTAATAGAGAGAATAAAGATGAGAGTGACCTACCAGCTCCACAAGAACCTGGCAGGCCTCTCCATACAGTGTACCTTAGACTAACATAACTAATATTTAACATTTAACATTGACATCTTAGTAAAAAAAAAAAAATGTGACTACCTCCCAGTTACACAAGGACCTGGGCGGGCTCACTAACTCCAACAATAACAAATAATAATAATAAGCAGCATTATATAAATAAACCAATATTAATACAAAGGTCTGACGGCCCAGGGGCAGAACAAAGATAAAACACCAATAGGAAAGATGAAGCGATCTGGTTGAGCCCAGATTCTTCTACTCCTACTGTATTTCAGTTCACCACTTTCCTTCAACTCCTAATAATCTTCTTTCCTCTTAACTAAAGACTTCGTATCGTATCGTGACAGCCGTGATGCCAGGCGACCTTCCAGGGACGTCAGCGCCCTGGGAGCTCTCTCCAGGACGGCAGCGACCCTAGGGCCTCTCAGTAGTGCAACATCCTCCCCCAGGGTTTTCCCAGGGACAACTACGCTCTGAGGGAGCCCTCCCAGGGATGGTGGCACTCCCAGTGGGCCTCCCAGGAACTGCGGCACTCCCATGGGTTCTTCAGGGACAGCAGCGCTCAGGGGTCCTTCCAGGGACGATGCCGCCCCAGTTGTCCAACCAATGATGGCGGCACTCCTGAAGGCCCTCCCGCTGGCATTTCCAGGGACCCGTCCCTGGTGAGCGCCCCCAGGTGCTCTCCCAGGGACATCATTGCTCGCAGGGCTCTCTCAGGGACAGCAGCACCTCCAGGGGCCCTCCAAGACAGCGGCAGGAATCCTGCCAGAGCACTGGTGTGTCCAGACGTCCCTTACTTATCTATGATTGGTGGACTATTCTTAACCCACCAACACAGCCAATAGGAGAAAACAGACAGTCAGCACAACACCCCAACTTATGTTTTCTGTTGATATTATTCTCTGTTACCTTCTTCAGAATTCGATGACACTGGAAATGTGATGGGCGGTGTATTAATTTAATGTTGCATCTCCCAGAGTTCTAAATAGCGCAAAAATTACTGCCCCATGGGCCCTACAAATGTGGGCTCCCAGAGGCTCTCCAAGGGCGTCGGTGGCGCCAGGAGCCTTCCAGGACGGATGCTGCCGCCAGGCTCTCTGTGGGCCCTCCGGTGGACGCCGTTCCCCAGGGCCGTGCCAGGACTGCTTGTGTGCCTAGGGACTCTCTCACGGACAGACGTCCCTTATCTATGATTGTTGGACTATTCTTTAACCCCCCAACTTACAGCCAATAGGAGAGAGAGCAGTCAGTCAGCACAACACCCACCTATGTTTCCTGTTGATATTATTCGCCGTTACCTTCTTAGAATTCGATGACACTGAAATGTGATGGGCGGTTTATTTATAACGTTGAATCTCCCAGAGTAATAAATAGCGCAAAAACTACTACTACACATTTGGCCTGGCGCTCTAGGGGCAGTCCTCGGGGCACTGGTGTCCCCAGGGCTCGCCAGTTTGCGCCGCAATCCCAGGCTCCCTTCCAGGGACTTCTGGCGCCTAGGAGCTCTCTCAAGGGAGGCGCGACCCAGGGCCCTCTCAAGTGCAAGATCCCCCAGGGTTTTCCCAGGGACAACTGCTCTCTGGAGGGCGTTTCCAGGGATTGTGGCACTCCCAGTGGGCCTCCCAGGAGCTGCAGCACTCCCATGGGTTCTCCCATGGACAGCAGCCTCTCAGGGATCCTTCAGGGACGGTGCTGCCCCCAGGAGCCCTACCAATGATGGCGGCGCTCCTGGGGCCCTCCCAAAGCTTGCGGCACTTCCAGGACCCGTCCGTGGTGCCGCTCCCCAGGTGCTCTCCCAGGGACATCGGTGCTCTCAGGCGCTCTCAGGGACAGCGGCCCCAGGGGCCCTCACAGGACGGCGGCACCACGAGCCTGCCAGGGCGCTGATATGCCCAGGTCCCACCGGACAGTGGTGCATCCAGGGGCCCTCAGAGAGGACGGCGCCCCCAAGGCCTTTTAGGTGCTGGATCCCTCGGGGCTTTCCAGGGACAACTTTGGGCCTCTGGTCAACAGTGCCCTATGGGCGCTTCCAGGAAGGTGGCGCCCTAGGCGCCCTGCTAGGGGTGCTGGCGCCCAGACGCTCTTCCAGGGACATCGGGCTCTGGCTCTCTCAGGGTTAACAGTGCTCCCAGGAGCATTCCAGGGACAGTGACCCCAGGATCCATGCCAGAACTGGTGTGTCAGGGGTCTCTCACGGACAGCAGTCCTTACTTATCTATGAATGGTGGACTATTCTTTTAAAACCACCAACTTACAGCCAATAGGAGAGAGCAGACAGTCAACTGCACCCCAACTTATGTTTTCCTGTTGATATTATTCGCCGTTACCTTCTTTAGAATGCGATGATACTTGTAGAAATGTGATGGGCTGTGTATTTATTTAACATTGCATCTCCCAGAGTAATAAATAGCGCAAAACTCTGCACCCAAGGGCCCTCAGGCCTGGCGCTCCTAGGGCAGTAATCGAAGCACTGGTGTCCCCAGGGGCTCGCCAGTGAACCACGATCCCAGGCGCTCTACCAGGGACATCGGCGCCCCTAGGAGCTCTCTCGGGGAGGCGACCAAGGCCCCTCTCAGGAGTGCAAGATCCCACCCTGGGTTTTCCCAGGGACAACTGCTCTCTGAGAGGCCCTCCAGGGATAGGTGGCACTCCCAATGGGCCTCCCAGGAACTGCGGCACTCCCATGGGTTCTCAGGACAGCAGCGCTCTCAGGGGTCCTTCAGGGGACGGTGCCGCCAGGGAGCCCAACCAATGATGGCAGCTCCTGAGGCCCTCCCAGCTGCTTCCAGGGACCCGTCCCTGTGCAAGCGCCCCCAGGTGCTCTCAGGGACATTGGTGCTCCCAGGGGATCTCTCAGGGACAGCAGCGTCTCCAAGGGCCTCCCAGGGGACATCGGCACCCCCAGGAATCTTGCCAGAGGCACTGGTGTGTCAGGGGGTCTCTACGGACAGAAGTCCTTACTTATCTGTGAATAGTGGACTATTCTCTTAACCCACCAACTTACAATAGGAGAAGAGAGCAGACAGTCAGCACAACAAACTTATGTTTTCCTGTTGATATTATTCTCTGTTACCTTCTTCAAATTCGTTGACACTGGAAATGTGATGGGCGGTGTATTTATTTAATGTTGCATCTCCCAGAGTTCAATGGCGCAAAAATGCACCCATGGGCCCTACAAATCTGGCGCTCTAGGGGCTCTCCAAGGGGCAGCAGTGGCGGGAGCCTTCCAGGGACAGGCGCCGCCAGGGCTCCCCAATGACCGTAGTATCCACGGCCTCCCAGGGACTCCACTGAGGGGGTGCCAGGGCACTGGCACCCCCAGAGGGTCTCACATGGACAGCGGCGCTTCCAGGGGCCCTCACAGGGACAGCAGCCCTTATACAGGCTTCCAGGGACGGTGGTGCCCCTGGACGCCCTGCTAGGGTGCTGGCGCCCACAGACGCTCTTCCAGGGACATCAGAGCTCCTAGGGGCTCTCTCCAGGGTCTTGGCCCCCTGGGCCCTCCCAGGGTCGGCACCCAGGATCTATGCTAGGGGCGCTGGTGTACCCAGGGGTCTCTCACGGACATCAGTCCTACTTATCAATGATTGGAGGACTATTCTCTTAACCCACAACTTACAGCCAATAGGAGAGAGCAGTCAGTCAGCACAACACCCCAACTTATGATTTCCTGTTGATATATTCTCCGTTGTCTTCATTCGATGATACTTGAAATGTTGGCGGTGGCATTTATTAACGTTGCATCTCCCAGAGTTCTAAATAGCGCAAAACTACCTGCAGCCACGAGGCCCTACAAGTCTGGCGCTCTCAGTGGCTCCCAGGGCTCCTGGTGCCTTATATAGGGACTTCCCAAAGACAAACGACTCCAGGAGCTCCCAGAGACAGTGACGCCCTGAGGCCTTCCGGAATAGCTGTGTCCCCAGACGCCTTTCAGGGACAGCTCCCCAAGAGCCCTGGCGTAGGCGCTGGCATCCACATGGGCACTCCCAGGGACGTCGTTGTCCCCACGGGCTCTCTCAGGTACAGCGGTGCCCCCAGGGTTCTCTCAGGCGCAGCCGCGTTCCCAGAGGCCTTCCAAGAGACGGCGGCGCTCTCAGAGACCCTCCCAGGGATGGTGATGCCCCCAGAGGCCCCAGGTAACGCTGGTGCTCTCAGGGGCTCTTCGGGAGAGCGATTCTCCCAGGGGCTCTCCCAGGGACGCCGCTGTCCCTGTAGGGCCCTTGGGGCGACACCGCTTATAGTACGGTCCCTGGACGCCACCGCCCTGGGAGTTCCCTGAGTTGCCGCTGTCGTTGGGAGGCCCCTGGGGTTTCTGCCGTCTTTGGCGGGCCTCTAGGAGCACTGTGTCCCTAGGAGCACTCCTGGGAGCGCTGTGCACTTGGGAGAGCTCCTGGGCCAGCACCATGACAGGGCCCCCAGGGTGCCGCCGTTCTCTGGCAGGGCCCCTGGGAGAGCAACTGGGTTCGCCACCTGGCAGGTCCCCAGGGGCGCCTCTGTACTGGAAGGCCGCCGGGGAGTTCCGCTGTCCCTGGGGCGCCACCAGCCCCTTGCAGGGTCCTGCGGTGCTACACCCCCTGGTAGGACCCCTGGGCGCCAGCGCCTTTGGCAGGGCCTTGGTGGCACCGCCGTTTGGAAAGGGCCCCTGGGAGATCCGCATCCCTGGCATGGCCCCACCAGACGTCACCGCCCCTGAAAGGACTGCTGGAGTGCCGTTGTCCCTGGAAGGGTTTCTGGGTGCGCCGCTGTCCCTGGGAGAGCCCCTGAGAGCCCCTGGGGGCGCTACGGTCCTGGAGGGGCCCCTGGGCGCTGCCACCCCTGGCAGGGTCTCTAGGGACACCGCAGTCCCTGGAAGGGCCCCTGTGGGCGTCACCGTCACTGGAAGTCCCATAGGGGCGCCATCGTCTGTGGAAGGCCCCTGGGAGCTGCTGTCCCTGTCACGGCCCCTGGTGGTGCCACCGCCCCTGAGAGGGGCCCTGGAAGCGCTGCTGTCCCTGAGAGATTCCCTGGGGGCGCTTAGCACCCATGATAGGGGCCCCTGGGGATGCTGACGTCCCTAGGAGTGCCCCTAGGATCGCCGATGTCCCTGGGAAGGCCCCTGGGACGCCGAGCTGGGCGGGGCCCATAGTGGAGCTGCTGTTTGGGAGGGCCCCTGGTGGGCGCCCTGGGAGCGTCACTGTCCCTGAGAGAGCCCCTGGGGGCACTGCCGTCCCTTGGGGGCTCCTGGTGGCGCCGCTGTCCCTGGCAGTTCTCCTGGGGCGCCACTGCCCATGATGGGGCCGTTGGGGACGCCACTGCCCTGGGAGAGCCCCTGAAGGCGCTGCTGTCCCTGGGAGGGCCCATAGGGGCACAACCGACCCTGGCAGTGCCTGGCGGTGCCACCACCACCGGCTGGCTGCTGGGGGCCCACATCAGAGACTGTACACCGTCAGACTCTCTCTGTACACTGCCAGACTCCTGTACACTGTTAGATCTGTACACCGCCAGACACACATTTACACTGACGGTGTACAGGAGTCTGGTGGTGTACAGAGTGTCTGATAATATACAGGGAATGTCTGATGGTGTAAGGAGTGTCTGGTGGTGTACAGGAATGTCTAGCGATGTATAGGAGTGTCTGACAATATACAGGAATGTCTGACGGTGTACAGGTGTCTGGTGGTGCACAGGAATGTCTAGCGATGTACAGGGTGTCTGACAATATACAGGAATGTCTGACGGTGTACAGGAGTGTCTGATATACAGGAATGTCTGACGGTGTAATTAATGTCTGGGTGTACAGAGTGCCTGGTGATGGAAAGGACTGTCTGACAGTGTACAGGAAATGTCTGGCGGTGTACAGGAGTGTCTGGTGGTGCACAGGAATGTCTAGCGATATACAGGAGTGTCTGACAATATACAGGAATGTCTAGCGATATACAGGAGTGTCTGACAATATCAGGAATGTCTGACGGTGTACAGGGAGTGTCTGACAATATACAGGAATGTCTGACGGTGTAATTTGTCTGGCAGTGTACACGAGTGCCTGGTGATGGAAAGGACTGTCTGACAGTGTACAGGAATGTCTGGCGGTGTACAGGAGTCTCTGGTGGTGTACAGGAATGTCTGGCGATGTACAGGAGTGTCTGGCGGTGAGTAGGAATTCTTTGGCAGTAAAATGAACAGTGGAGGGAGCAGAGGCAGTAAAATGAACAGGAAGGGGCAAGAGGCAGTAAAATGAACAGGTAAGTGGGAGGCAATAAAATACCCAGGGAGGCAAAGAGCAAAATTAACAGGGACAGAGTGGCATTAAAACGCGCTGGGGAAGAGGCAGGGAATCTAAAGCGCTTAGGAAGGAACAAGTCTAAACACCTGACCGACACCTGCTTGACTTCTCACTTATGACCAAAACTCTATAAGTGTTTTTTTCCCACACCTGAAGCTTTAAAAGTTCCCGAATTAAAATTTAAAACAAGTTAGCACAGTTCGTTTACTCTATATAAATTAACAGAAGTAATAGAAATAAAAATCTATAAAACAAAGTAAAAGACTTCGTTGGTCCTATTGGCCAAGTGATCTTACTATGCTACTAGTGACTAATAGGCGGTCTTGACAAGGGCTATTCTATTGTGTCGTCTTTGAAGGGATTACAGTACTAAGCAACTAAGGTCTTTTAAGCGAGTAGTTTAGAAGAGTAAATTAGTCGCTAAGAATATTGTTGATATTTGCTGCATTAACATCTAGGTCTTTCCGGAGTTGTTGGGTTATATACTGCACTAACTATTGAGGTGTTTTTGAACGTTTCTTTAGAAATAAACGAATCATCAAATTGGATGTATTAAATATTGTAGGGTTTTTTCGGTTTTATTTCGGTTTTTCGTAGTTTAATGAATTTTTGGGTTTTATTTTTTGCGGTTTATTGCAGTTTTGTGCGGTTTATTGCAGTTTTTGCGGTTTATTGCAGTTTGTGCGGTTAATTGCCTTTTGCGATTTATTCAACACTAAAAGCGGGAAACATACGTATAAAATTATTGGTTACCTTTAAAAAGTCTCAAGTTCGAAATGTCATGAACTATTTCCTTTTGGTATTGGTCGCCATCTCGACTAATCTAACTTCTTGATCAGAGGTACAATTAGGCTCAGCTTGTACAGTATAACAAGTTGGTCTGATGTGTGTTCATAAACTTGGAACTATTTGAAGGTTAAAACTCTGCTTAAAATGTTAACCTCGTCACCAATAATAGTTTTCAATTGTTTAGATACAGTTTAAGTCATTGTGTTTTTTATGTTGGATTACAATACTTACGATAATCTGAAACTCTACGTAAGATAAGATTAATTACGATACTAGGGAGTAAGTAGTTATTTACACATTTACAAACACTAGTGAGGGTAAACAGGGCTAGTGGACTATCTGAACGGTGATTGTAAAGTAGAATTATGATCAGAGCCCCAAAGATTAGGGAGGTCAGCTTCTTACCTGCTGCTTATCAAGGAACCAATCTCGTTACCTCACTGGTTTGATCTACACATTGAAATAAAAGCTTAGAAAATACCATTAAAAGTCTATCGATAAGATTACGACAATGTTGATGTAAGTAACTAATCACGAACCTCAGCTACTTAAAACACGTAACGTAATTTAAATGCCACGAGAACTATAGTAAAGAAATTATTATACTTCAATATTTCTTTATAGATCACTAGAAAGGACACGACAAAATCTATGTATTTAACTGAGGGACAGTGTGGATCGAGGGTACATAGCTGACACTAAGTTGAAGACTGAAGTACTTACAACAGAGAGACACGTTGAAGAGCCTTACTGTGGGTGGCGGTGGTGGTGGTGGCAGTGGTGGTGGTGATTGGACTGAGACGAGCGACTAATCACCCAACTATATGAGTAAACGTTACCTTAAAATATAAACACAAGCTTTCTTCCCTCCTTCCTACCTCCCTCCTCCTCCCTCCCTCCCTCCCGTCTGCCTTTTCCTCCCTACATCCTTCCTTCCTCCGTCCTCGTCTTACCTCCTTTCCTTCCTCTTTCCCTCATCATTTCTTCCCTATCTTCCCTCCCCCACATCCCCCATCCCTACCTCCCCAATCCTCCTTAATACCCCTTAAGTCACTCTCCACCACCACCACCATGCACCCCCCCCTTTCCCCCTATCTCACCCCTCACCCTCCTTCCCCCTTCCTTCCTTTCTCTCCTTCTCCCCTCCTTCCCAACTCCTCCCCTTCTCCCTCCTCCACTTCCCCTCCTTTCCTCCCTCTTCCTCCTCCCTCCCCTCCTCCTCCCCTCTTTCCTTCCCTCCTCTTCCCCTCCTCCCTCCCCTCCTCCTCCCGCCTCCTCCTCCTTCCCTCTCCTCCCCCCTCGCTCTGAAGGCTTTAAAATTCCTTTATTCTACAAGTATTATTATCTACTCGGCTTAGTAAATTAGAAAGACTAACCTTTTTATTTTCTAAACTTTTGTAAACTTCGAACTTTCTCGATCACAGCATCTTAGAACAGAACTTCTTGATTGGCTACGATGATATACACCTGTAATTAATCTTTACCTGAGAGAATATATGGTTAATCTTAAGAAGTGTTTCTTAAGTCGTATTTTATTGATCTTTATTAGTATGTTGTTGTTGTTGTTGTTGTGTGTGTGTGTGTGTGTCTCCTTACACCACTTGTAGGAGTATCTTACCACCACCACCACCACCTACCACCACTCTACCACCACCCACTCTACCAACATCTTGGCATATATGTCAGCAGCATGCTCACTGTGCATGTCAGTGCAGGGCACTGGCTGGCTGTCACCTCCACCCACCACCACCACTCTACCCACCACCACCCACCACTCTACCACACCACCACCCCACCACCACTCTACCACCACCTCCCACCACCACACTCTACCACCACACCCACCCACCCACCACCCCTACCACCCACCACCACCACTCTACCACCACACCACCCACCACTTTACCTCCCACCACACTCTACCACCACCACCACCACCACCACCCTCTACCCCATCCCCACCACCGTTCTACCACCACCACCCTACCCACCACCACCACTCCCTCCCACCATGGCCATAACCTGGCTCCTGCTCTACCCATAGTGCCAGTCAGTGCCAGTCTTAGCCTTATGGGTAACCACTGATTCCTAGATGGTAGTTAATCATCCCTGCCATGTTGGTGGTAGGAGGCAGAAGCCTTGGGAGATAAGGGGGTGGTAGAGAATTAGTGGGGAAGAAAGATGGTAGAAGGAAGGTGGGTAAAGAAGGAGTGGTAGGGAAAGGAAGAGATTGGTGGAAGGGAGGGGGGAGGAAGGTAGGGAAGGAGGACAGTGTGATAGTGTGGGAAGGAGAGCGTGACGATAGAAGAGAGTGTACAGGTGTTCCATTTGTCATCGTCTGCCATTTGTACTACACGCCCAGCAGCAGGTGTGTTGTGGTACAGGTGTGTAACCACCACCAACTACGACACTAACCACCTACCACCAATAGCAAAAAACACAGCCAAACATCAATAACTAAACCACAACCAATCCCAACTAACGACCGAGCCAATCACACACCCTCCTTTCATCCACCCTCCTGAAGAGCTGTATGCTTACCCGTAAACATACAAAGACATCCTTAATTCCGGGTCAGAAAGAAAGAAAAAACACGTGATTTATACATCAAGTTGTATATATACACCATAACATATTGCATGATTATACAAACTGCAGGCCACAGGGATACATTGCATGCTATGTAACTTCTGGAGCGATATGAAGAGACACATTACAGAGCTCAAGATTACGAGGGCTTTGTAACGTGTCCGGCGATACGCTTCTGAGCGATACGAGTTACCATGGTGATACATACATACATACATACATACATATACATACATGTTGCATTACACTACATACATTACATACATACATACATACATACATACATACATACACTTACAGATAGATAGATTGATGGACAGACTTCGAGAGAGAGAAGAAAGTGAGAGAGGGGGAAGGTGTAGAATCAAACCAAGTCCCTCTCCCTCCTCCCTCCCTCCCCTCCCTCTC